TCCTGATGTATTTTCTTCATCTAAACATGTATTTTAATACATAAATAAACTACAACATTTAGGAAAAAGACAGTGATCTTGCATTATCACATTTGCTTACCTGAGTTGTTTTTGTTGTTATCTGAATAACACATTGCAATAAGTTTGGCTGTTCTGGATTTAAACATTATAACTATATTGTATACGATATTTTACCAAAATAATAAATACAATCATGTACGAGTTCAGTAATAATAGTTTTATCGTTATAACGTAAGAAATTAGTATAATGTTTGTATGTTCGTCTACTGCCTACCAATAACACTAATAAGATAATTGAAATATTTGTAAAAATATTATGTACAATCATAATATTTTTATGATTGATAAATATGGCTATGATAAGATTATATTAATATTTTAATACATATATTATTGATTATTGATAGTCACAGATAGAGATCCTAGATAATAAAGGCTCTCTAGTCAGAGATGTTACAAAAATGGGGAATAGTTGTTTTATTAAATTATGAGTAATATTCACTATGTCTACAAGGAATTATGTCTACACACCGCCAAGTCACTTAGCCACTTTATCACATATCATTATTTTGGTGTAAAGTTGTCTAAGTTGACATAGGCCAAATTTCGCAATGATAATAGTATGTACAAAATCGTCTAAGTCATATAACTGGTTTTTCTCAAACACAAAATTAATTTTGTGAAATGTTCTATTTTTCATAAGTGTATAACAACTGGTAAAATCGGTGTATGACTTAGACCGTTTTACCCAAAACACCGTCTGATTCTTCTGTATCTAGATATGACATAACCTAATTTTCGCAAATTTTAGACTTAGCCAGTTTTTCCCGAGCACCATCGAATTACATTAGGTGAATATATACAAACAGTAACAATTTGTAGTATCAATTATTTATAATTATCTCACCTAACCTAGATGTTATTAGTGATCAATTTGCATTCCTAATCAAATAAAAACTTAATTTACTTATAAAAAACATCCTTTATGCTTATTGTACTTTTTTTATGTACAAATTGTATAAATTCTAGATTAAAAATAAAAATATATTTATAAACGTTAGTTGTCAGAATACTAGGCTTAGCTATAATAGTCGTTAGGAAATGATTGTAATGATCTAATGACGTTTAGGTATACTAATACAGTAATACAGTATGTATATAAATGCATAATACTATGAAAATTCTGGTTTCGCTTAACTTTTAATTCAACGAATAGGTTAGATACAGGTATTGAAGAATTGTTTAATTTTATACATAACATGCGGTGTCATGAGCAGTGTAATATCATAAAGTCATAAAAAAGTTGAAAAAGTAATTTGTCATGTAACGGATGAGTTATTAACAGTTTAATTATTTTAACCATAGAGTATGGACTATATTATAATATTAGGCACCAGGCGATATTACTACAACATTAATATTATTGGCCTCCTTTCAATGTACCAATTTTTTTCACGTAGGTGTCACTGCTGGATCACTGGTATCACACTTGTTCTTTGACGAGCGAATCACTGCCGTCACTGATCTCGCTCGTGTTCTTTGCATAGACGGGATGGGGACAGTTAGGTCCCGATTATTACTACGTATAATAAAATGCCCATTGCCCATACGTATTATGATTTATGGTACGCGTATCGCAGGTTGTGAAAAGTTTATCTAAGTGATATAATGTACTGACCTCAGTAATGTCCACACAATCAGATCCAAAAACTTATTTTTATTATTTCATTCATATGGCCATTGTTGGTGGTAATTACTATTTTATACGTATTATATAATAATTATTAATCACATTATAATTATACATAGCCGGTACTAGGTACACTGGTGTCTGACACCTGTTTAATAGTAAACAATATTGTTTAATGTTTTTAATCCCACTCGCTCCGCTCTCGGGGAAAAAATATACCTACATATAAATGCTTGTATGCATCTGGGTACACCCACATCCTTAAAATAAAAGTTTTAAATAGGTAAAACTCTAGTCATAACGAATGTATTATATTATTATAATAATATAGTATATATAGAAGAATACGTTGTTTATGTAGACTGTAGACACCAGTAGGTACAAGGTGAAATGTGAATTTATGAAGATGGTTTATAAGCTATAGTTGTTGTAGGTTAAATAGAAAGGTATAATTTCCCACACACATAATAATAAAGTATAATGTATATAAAGGCATGTAGACAAAAATGGATCTGTGGAAGGTATCATATATCCCTGTATTATTTTATACCTAGCCATAAAGATTGGTTCATATTTCTATATGTATAGCTTGAGATTATAAGCTTCAGTGAATATTATTGACACCTATAATAATATTGGAGTTTGTTACCTACTTTCAATATAAGTCATCCGTAAGAGAAACCATTTTTTTTCTGATTTTGTATTTATTTAATTTTATGTTTTAAGACACTAAGACAGTTAACTTATGTATAATATATAAGTATATATATTATACATATATTTATAACGAGTTGAGCTTATAAGTTAAGATTTAAAAGGGCTTACAAAATAATGAGTAAAACAAAGTATTCGACATGGATGATGTTGGCCTTTAGACGTTCGTTTTATGTAAATGTAATATTTATAATTACAGTTAAATAATAAACCAAAGATTATATTATATTAGTGTTAAAATCAATGATCAAAAATGAAGGATCACCCAGGATTGAATCTAGAAATCTGAAATGGGGGGGGCACATTTATTTTCAGAAAAAATACAATTTTAATTTAGGTAGGTAAACCTATATAAACATAATAAATTATTATAGATAACATTATAGATTATTATTATATATTATATATTCATACCTGGAGCACTGTATCAAGAGTAGGTATATAAGCCATAGGTGACTATCTGGCTTGAAAAAAAAATTTCAATTAATCCCCCCCCCCCACTGTTCGAGCTTTAGATACACCAATGAATTTTTTTTTATGACAACTTATTCTACTAGGTAGGTAGTAGCTACATCTTCTTATCGTCTTATTTTCTTTTTATAAAAATATGGTTTCTTTTTAGATAAATGATACATTTTTTATAATATAAACTATAATAGTATACCAACGAATAAATATTTCTTATTTTCATTTTCAAGTGTATAGTTTCCCATTGTTTTTTATTCAAAATTGAGGATTTGGTATGAGAATTTCATATTTCATTAGCGATTACCACATCTCGTACTTATTAAAAAAAAATGAGCTATGATGAAATATTATATAACTTATAATTATTTAAAATATTATTCGTTCTATATTTAGTGCAACAAAATAACATGTACCTATAATATGCTGTATTTGAACTTATTGTTTATCCTTATAATATTACAACCAAACATTTAAAAAATGTATTGAATACCTAACTAGCTGTAATTACACAACTTAACTTCATTAAAATAATTGCAATATATATTATACTTATACAGTCATTTGTATTATATTATGTTCAGTACAATTTCCTTGTTAAAATAGATTAGATACCTATATACCTAGGTAGGTACTTATAATTCATAAGTTCACATAATCGGGTTTTTTACATTTAAATTTTAAAATTATAGGTACCTACATTTAAATCGTTCAGGCTAATGATTATATGAATAAAAGTACACTGCAGTAGACACATAATGTACAATTATTATCATACAATTATTCAAATACAAATTTATAAAATTAAACAGTTCTACATAGTAAATACTAAATACATATTATAGACATTATACGTACAGCACTATAGCCCCATTTGGCCCTTTAAGTCATTGATGCTCGTGGATATTTGGTATCTATAAGGTTGATCAAAGCTTTCTGTACATCTCCATAATAAAATATGATATCTATACACCTATAGTGTACATAGTATAGCAGTGTACAGACGTTCACTTTCGTCGAGGTCTCCAAACAACGTGAATTATACACTATAGTTACAAACGCAAGGTAACTATATTATATTAACTCTTGTATAGGTTTATTGTTTAATATTATAATGTTCAGTACGCGTATCTATAATATAACAAAGGTTTAGTCGTCATTTCAACAAAACACCATTTTGTATGAATGTTAAAAGAGGGAACATTTAAAAATTAAATAATTTATGGAATTTTTTTTGTTTCGAGGGTGTAGTGGGTATTTTATTTTAGTATTAGGTGTATCATATAGTAGTACACGTTTTTTGTTGCAGGAAATAAATACAGACCGTAACAGATTTGTATATCATAGTGTAGTCCAACATCGTGTATCATTCCACTTTCCAGACGACTGCAACCGTATTACGTTTTTTTCGCTAGAAAACAGGTGGAAAACAATGCTTACGCGTAAGTCTGTCGCAACCACAATACAACACGACTATATTTAATTTGTGTACGTCTTTTACTCGAATATTATTATTTAGTAAAACATACTGCAACACGTATTATTGTTATTATTATTGTTATCATCGCGTGGGAGGTCACGAGCTCGAATCTCTCGCCGCGCCCTTCCCAAATCCAAAACACGCGTCGGTGGTGGAAATCCGTGTCCGCGTCCGCCCGCTCGACTGAGTCAGCTGCGCTCGACAAGAATAATATACTATTTGGTATTGTACGCGTACAGCCACCGTCCGCTGCCGATCGTCTCTCGCCGCGCCAGTTCCGATCAGTCAGTCAGAGACCGGTCGCCGAACGCATTAGGCAATATACCTAGCTGGTATCCACCGCAGACATATTATATCGTCATCGACATAATATCAATAACCAAAACTCTATACACGCACCGACAGTCGATCAAGTCAGTACAAGCGATCGGCCGTCGTCGGTGGGAATCGAGCGCGGACGTCATTGACACAGTACGTCATAATATACCCAATATATAAACTTATCATAAATCTTCAGGTCCGCGACGTATAGTCGTCCCCGCCCGGCGCAATACTTGATAAGTCGATATATATTGCCGTCGTATATTTTAAACGCGTAGACCGCGACAGCAGTCAGTCGACACGACCGACATGGACAAGCAACAGGAAGCCGCGGTCGCAGCAGCCGGTACAGCGTCGGAAGACAGCATTAGCATGAAAACGGAATATCCCACTCACGAGGTGTACGTCTCCGAACCACCACCGGTGAGTTGTATAGACGATAATATGACATTGTGTATTATATTATATTATTATTACAATAAAATCATTATAATATATAATATACATTTATAGTAAAATATAATTAATAATAATAATAATGACGAAAATTCGACTTACGAGGAGCAGTCGTAGTTAGAGCAAAATCGTTCGTCGTCTCGCGCCCGTCGTGCGGTGGCCGCTGCGTCACACTCCACTTCGCGGTCCACTAGAAAGTCGAAACGCGCGTGCCGTACCTTTCAATAAGACCGCAACGACCGGAAGCGTATTTTGTTACTTTGGATTTTGATCTTTCCTATTCGGCGGGTTGTGGATATAATAATAACTAAATTGCTCCCCAGCTCGAGATGACTACGACTGTTGTATACACCTATATGATATGATATTTTTAGCAACGCGCGTATACATTTTATTTGACGAAATGACGTTTGACTTGGGACCCAAGCGGGTGACTTCAACGAGTATGGGATTTCTCCCCTGACATCAGACCACGAAAAATCAATCACAAAAATTAGCATTTGTTTTTTATCTGTGTGTTATTTAAAAGGGCTTGCTGCAGGACCATTCTGCTAGTAAAAAAACGCCACCATAGTATATGAATGACAATGGTCTTGTTCTCTTGTATATATAGAATGTATAGGTAGATTCGTAGATACGTACTAATTATATTTATACGGTTTAGTATACACTATGCCTACCTATACTGGCTGTATATTGTACATATAATAAATATAAATATATATTGTATACTGTATAGTCGTATGTGCAGCATATACTATTTACTTCTATGTTGTACGTTCACGTTTTCGGTTTGGTTTTTTTCACGTGAAACCTGTTGTCTGTTGGGACAAACAATAGCCGGTAAAAATTAATCGCTTTTACTATAATATATTGTGTAGGTATAATATACATTGTGTACATGAAACGAGAAAGAAAAACTATTTAAGCGTACAGTATAGTAATACTATGTGCTCGTGATCACGAGAGCAGTACAATAACAGCGATTGACACATGTGGCGCATATTATTTCAATATAATATAATCATTAATCATAATTCATAATTGAGATGCGAGTTGCGAGTATAGGTACCCATCTATATTATATAAGCCGCCTTTAGCAACAATATCTCTCCCTCGTACCAGTACCAAAAAAGTATTCAGTGCGGTATCGTCTATTGCGAGGTCCCGCGGGGCCAGATCGGAAAAAAATGACTACCTATTCCACACAATAATAATTTATAATTATTTATACTTTATAGTTTAAGTATACCGTCTATCGTTGCTCGCGGAGCTTGTTCTCAACTATATATTGTTAGCACATAGTCGCCTAGCGCGCCGAAGAACGACGTTCTTATTATAATATTATTATCATTGTCGTCGGACGACGAATAATAAAAACAATAAATAAAAAATCTCTGTGCATATATCTATTATGTGTTTTGATTTTTGTACAGAGGTAGTTTTTTGCAGCTGTAGGTACTACCGACGCCGGAGGGAATGCAATTTATTATATTATATTTCTACAATAATACACCAGTCGCGTACGTACATATATATATATATATATATATATGTACAAAATTGAAAATACAAAGTAATATAATCATAATAATAATAATAATAATATGTAAAAAGATGGTGTGTCGAGGACAACTGGGTATAACGACTGTAAACAATATGTAGTATAATTTATCCTTTCTCTTCAACTCTTGTGTTGGGCGCACAGACGTACGTATAGTGTATATATTATTATAAACGTTTTACCTTGAGTCCAATTCTTACAATGCTCACGTTAATGGTCGTGTGAGTGTTTTAGATTCTATTTTTACAACGAATTACGATTTACGGAGTTCTATGAGTAAAAAAAAATTAAAAAAACACTTAAAAAGAGCTTTTCATGCTTGACATACTGCAGTTAACTACGCTTCCAACAAGGCCGTCGTGTGCAGCTATATATTATGTTATAATATAATATAAATATATAATACATAATAATATAATATGTCCATCCAATAGCGACGGGATAACCAAATATTTTTGTCATTATCGCCGCTGGTTTTTCGGGTTGACGAGAAAGTACAACAAATAGCCATTTCGTTTATATATTATATTTACTGCTCAATTTTGCAACTATCTAACTGACGCATCGCACTTGGATTGTTGAGTTCGTAAAATGGTCCGTTACGTAATTTGCACCGTATATACAAGTTTACACGAAAAAAAAAATTGTTTTTATCTTAAGATCCCAATATGTATACCTGCACTGTGCCAGCGACAGTGCAAAAATACATACCTAATGACAAAACTTGAAGTGAAATATGTAAATGTCGTGGTGTGCTGCATTAAGGCTAATGTGGTCTGTTGTTAAACCGGTTGTCGGATAAGGTCTTTAGGGTCAGAAATAAATTCAACGAATCTTCTAGATTTACGTAGAGACGGCCTGGAAGATTTCCAGAATATAAATAAATAATATGCTATAGCTACATACAGGTACATACGGATCGTTATTATGGATTTAGTAAAATGTATATTTTAATTCTTCAAACATAATGCATAACATTTCTACATTTAATAAGTATTATAATATATAATATTTATTATTTACCCAATTGAATATAATTTGTGCCAGCAACGTATACATTTTTTTTTTATAATGAATCGATTGCGATTACGAGTCTGGTTTATGATATTATTTATGATTATGACGCTTACCCTTTGTTATAATATTCATATTATACGATCATTATAATGTATTATATTGTGTACTTTCCAGTAGATTTTGAAGTGCACAAATTGCATATACGTGGTAAACACAGTTTCACTTGGGGTACAATAAATGTATATGTACATTGTACACTCACACGCACGCTTTCTCTCATGATACGACCCATTAAATGATTTATGAATTTGACGGTTTTTTTGCATGAGCTAAATGCCTTTAATGACGAATTTTCGCATTCACCTATAAACACCGTCGGACACTTTCCATTCCCATTAATACTCGACGTTTGAATGACATATTCTGAAAAATAATGCGGTCTATCTGCTGTCTGAACCGATTAACGAAAAAGAAAAAGGCTCATTACACATATTATGTTATTATTCGTATGTTAATGCTAATATGTTTTACCCATAAAGTTGATGATCATGCCACTCAGTTATTTTTGGAATCTATAATTTACCGGTAAATTAGCAGTTAAAAATTACATTCAGAAGATTAAAAAAAAAAATCTGAAAATAATAATTATTAGTTAAACTGCATAGTGAATTTAAATTTTCACTTCACCTAAATTTTGTTATTGAGAGAAAATCACATTTGTCTTTTATTCTATTATAACATCTGGTGTATTCTGGTATTCATATATAAAAACAATAAGTATGTTAAATTAGATAGAAAGTATGTTACACGATTTAAAAAAATATTCAAATACACCATATTATTCATATTTTTCCTACAAAATTTTAATTTATGATTATTATTATTACACAACCGACACTTGTGGGTTTCTGAGTGTACAAATTCATAAAATTAGAATATTTTTCTTCTTACAAATAATTATAGATATTCTCACACAAAAAAGTAGAAGACAATTATGTAATTTGATTTATAGTATATTATATAGTTTTTGTATTTTGTTACTTGTTACATGATATGCTCTCTAATGAATAACAATTGTTTAAAAAAATCTAATGAAATTCGATAACCGTGTCATTGATTAATTTTACTGACGAGTGACGACTCTACCCATTTTCAAGAATAAATTAAAGTAATTACAATTTGATAGTTCAAATTTTAATTCAATTGTAGTAACTAGTATGACAGTATGTATTATATATATATATATATATAACTATGTGTGTGTATATTTAATAGGTTTATCTTTTAGTTTTTACCACTTAAAGATAAAATGTTACATGCAAATATATTGCAATATATAATTACAGTATTGAATTTGAAAATTAAGGCAATAATGTAGAAATTTTTGTGACTATAATCGTTTATAGTAAAAATGTCCATTATAATGAATGTTCTATTATTATTCATATTAAAACTACTAACAAAACGATAACATTGAATTGATAATGATTTTTTTATGTGTAGCTTCCTTAATCATAAATCCATAACATAGGTATTAGGTGTACGGAACAATAGCTATCTGGCTTACTTATACTAAAGTACTAAACATTTTTTAATAAAATTAAAAATACTGATAAACAGTTGATTTCCTAACGCCCAGAATATCACGATTCTCGCATAAATACAGATGGAATCAAATAAAACATGTTAATAACAAATATATAGAAATACCATTCAAATCTATATTTAAACAAATGATATATGTATATATTTTTAAATAATTTTTTTCCCATAACTAAGATTTTTATCGAATTTTAATCACTTTAACTTACATACCTAATAATAATCAGATAATGGCACTAGCGTAAAATTAAAATTAAGCAAATATTGAAATATACCTACATGGCTACACATTAATGCACTATAATATCACAATATACAATTTAAGACTTAAGCCTATAATAGGAATATGATTCAGTGCAGTTAGTTAGTCCAGTTATTTTAATAAATATTTTATTTTGCAAATTGTTTTTTTTTATTTTAAACAATGAACGTATTAAATTATATTATGTTTATATAGCCTTACAGGTTCAAAGTACCTATGTCCTATTAGTGAAATATAAACCCATGTACTCGAAACAATAACGTAGGTAAAATGTAAGTATTATAATATAATATATAATAGGTATATTATGGAATTTTTTTTTTGACGTTGCGCTCCGATCGCGAGTTTAATTCGCTAAATTCGGGGCAGAATTAAAATGCAGTAAATTATAGAAAAAAATGCACCCGTTGAGTCGATAATAATATATTATTCTATATAGGTAGGTATAGTCGACATTGCATAACAAATATATACCTACTGTGTCTGTTATTATATACCGACTATCAAATTACACAACTATAT